TAGGTGAAAACCCTGCTTAATGGGCAGAGCAGTGTCAAATATCAAGAACCTGCCACTTCACAGCTGAAACAGTTGAAGTTAGAGTTCTAGTATATACCCTGTTGTACTGTGGTAATAAGGGCCTACACTGTTGAGATGGGCCCACACAAGTCTATGCAGAGGGAAAGGCACTCAAAGTCTGTGGATCCCTTATGCCTTTCCTTAGGCAAAGGAGCTCTGCCTACACTGCGTTCCTGGTTTAGGGGAGCCGGCAGTTTATTTTTTCCCGTTTGTTAATTTGTTCACTCACCAAGGCAGGGAGAATGGCTCTGGGCGTATGACGGATCCTACTTACAGCCCAGGGGACTCTGCAATTGGTCCAGGACCCAGTGCAGAACAGGGAGCGGGGAGGTAAATGAGAGAGAGGTTTTTCCCTAAGGGGGGTGTTTTTGATCCGTGTGGTAGGCCGTATGCAATTACTTGTCTTTCGCCAGATTGAGGGCTGCTTCTCACTGGTTCTAGGTGGCTGTGTAGACTCTGGTGCTGGGTCTCTCCTGGTGTGGAAAATGCACCTCTCTAGCGTGGCTGCTTGCCTGCCTCACCGCTTACCCCCAGGCGGATCAGGCCTGAAGGGCTCAGGCTCTCCCCAGGTCAGGTCTGGCAATTCTTCGCTGCTTCCCAACCGTCTGTCCCTCCCCCTGCCACTCAGTCTGGTTCTTCTACTGTGCCTTTGATGTTCAGGGCTCCCAGATTGCTATACATAATCGAATCACTTGTTTTTTCGGGTCTTTGTTATAAAAGGGTCCACTGGAAGTGTCTGACTACTCCATCTTGGCCCCGCCTCTGGCACCACTTATTCTTGGACCTTGTCGTGGGTGGCTAGGTGGCGTGGGTGGAGCCACCAGTCCTCAGGCCCCTGATGCTGGTAGGTGAGGGCCCTGCTTAATCGGCAGAGTGGTGTCAAATGTCATGAACCTGCCTCTCCACAATAAAGCTGATACAGTTGAAGTTAGGCTTCAGGTATATACCCTGTTATACTGTGCTAATGAGGGCCTGTGCTGTTGAATTGGGCCCACACAGGGTCTATGCAGTGGTGAAAGGCATTCAAAGTCTGTAGACCTCTTATGCCTGTGCCTAGGCAAAGGAGCTGTGCCTACCCCGAGTTCCTGGCTTAGGGGAGTCAGCAGATTATTTTTGTTTGTTAATTTGTTCCCTCTCCAACGCTGGGAGAATGGCTCAGGGCATGTGACGGGTCCTACTTCCACCCCAGGGGACATGGCAGTCACTGAAGCTGGCCCAGGACCTGACACAGAGTGGGGAGGGGGCAGGTACATGGGAAAGAGGTTTTTCCCAAAGGGGTGTTTTTTGATTCACGCAGTAGGTTAGACGCACATACTTATCTTTTGTCAATTGAGCGCCACTTTTCACTGGTTCTGAGTAGACTGTCTGCCACTTGGTCTCTCCCGTTATAGAAAATGCATCCGGAATGCCACTGCTTGCCCCACTGTGCATGCCAGCCATTCTTGCTGAAGGGTGCCAGTTCCCGCCAGGTCAAGTCTGCCAGCTCCTTGCTGCTTTTGAACCATCTCTCCTCCCTCTGCCACTCAGTCTGATTCCTCAACTTTGCCTTTGATGTTCAGGGCTCATAGATTGTCATATATAATCGATTTGCTTGTTTTTTCAGGTCTTTGTTGTAAGAGGGACCACAGGAAGCAACTGACTACTCTGCCATTTTGGCCCCGCCTCCTGTGCACTTCCCTTTGTAAACCTAAATGTTGAGCTTCACATCCATTCCTTGCAAATTCAGTTTTGTTGATTCAGTTTTGTTGAAGCCCATCCTTCTGTCCTCTGAAGGTTATTTTGCATCTTGATTCAGTAATAGAGATGGTTACCTGGCCCTCCCACGTTTGACATCCTCTGGTTCAGTGGTTAAAGGACTAGGCTGTGAACTGAAAGTTTGGCGGCTCGAACCCATCAGCTGCTCCTCAGGAGAAAGATGTGTCAGTCTGCTTCCATAAAGATTTACAGCCTTGGAAATCCTGTGGGGCAGTGTCTTAGTCATCTAGTGCTGCTATAGCAGAAATACCACAAGTGGATGACTTTAACAAAGAGAAATTTATTTCTTCATGGTAAACTAGGCTAAAAGTCCCAAATTCAGGGTGTCAGCTCCAGGGGATGGCTTTCTCTCTTTGTTAGCCTTCTCATCAATGTTCCCCTGGACTAGGAGCTTCTCTGCGCAGGGACCCCGGGTCCAAAGGACACGCTCTGCTCCTGGCACTGCTTTCTTGGTGGTATGAGGTCCCCCTGTCTCTCTGCTCACTTTTCTCTTTCGTGTCTCAAGAGATTGTCTCAGGACACAATCCAATCTTGTAGATTTGAGTCCTGCCTTACTAACAACTGCCACCCATCCTCCCTTATTAACATCATAAAGGCAGGATTTACAACATACAGGAAAATCACACCATACCAGGAATCATGGCCCAGTCAAATGGATGCACACATTTTTGGGGGGACATAATTGAGTCCATGACAGGCAGTTCTACTCTGACTTATCGGGTCACTATGAGTCAGAATTGACTCAATGGCAGTGGGTTTTTGGGTTTAGTTCACTAGTGAAGTGTTGAATGGGCTGGGCCAGGGCCCTACCAGAGACCTTCCTGCAACCTGAAATCCATCTGTTCTTCAGCAGTACCCTTCCAGTGCTGACCTTCATCTGGCTCTGATTTTTCCTAAATGTATGCTCAGCCAACCCCCATAGTTCCATCTTCTCCACAGGATTTTGTGAAAAGCCATCAGAATCCTTGCTGATTCAAAATGTACCATGTTTAAGGTGTTCCCCTGATGCGCTAGTCTAATAACCCTGTCAAAAAAAGAAATGTGGTGAGTTTCTAACAGTGCTGGCCCCTGGGACTTGCCGCTTCCTTTTCTAAGTCCTTACAGACCCTCTCTGTAATAATCCATGCCAGAAATTTGCCAGGGATCATTGTTAAGCTCGACATTTGCAACTTGGAGAAATCGGCTTTTGTCTGCTCGATATAAGAACACAGTAGCCTTTGTACATCTCCGTTCAGATGCCCCTCCCACTTTCTACATCAGCGCCACTGAGTGGAGCAGTTATGTGATTGCTGAGGGTTATTGCAGCACCGAGGGCCAGAATGTGGCTAGGGGCAACTTGAGGTCAGTTAGGACGGCTGGCCTTCTAGTTCCCCTCTACTGGAGCTGAAGACCCTTCTCTCTGCCTGAAAAGATGGAGCACGTGCCTGTTGGGTGGTTCTGCTTTCTGTCACCAGAAGGATACTTGTGCCCTGTTTTTCTCCATCAGTATTGCTGCTACCCTCAGACCAGTCTGTCGAGGAAAATTAAGCTGCTTTGGGTGCCTGCTTGTAGCCCCAGCCCTGTCACCTCAGTGAGCCCCCTGCTCATGAGGAGCCAGGAGTCACCAGGGCAGACTTCATTAGGGGATGGAGACCCCTGGATTGTGAGGTTGGCTGATTGGGTAGGTTCTCTGGGGGCCAAAACACTATAGAGTTGGTGGGGGGTGGTATAGGAAGATTGGACCAGATTCTTGACTGTTCACTTTAATCTTCAGCGAAATCTCAGAGTTCTCTGGCCCCAGAGACAGGCAGTCCCTCTGCCTTCCCACCTGCCCCTCCTACCTCTCTCACGAACTGAGCTTGCGACTCTGCCTCGTTTCTCGTGCCTCACACGTGCTTTCACATTAGCCAGGCGAATGTTGAGATGTGGCCACTCTGAATCGGGGGCCGGTGTGCCTTGAGGTAGGGGGAGCTAGAGGGCGATTGGGAGGAGGAGACCCTGGCACCTGAGCGTGAGCGTTCACTTCCTGTGGGAAACCTAGCTGTTGCTGAGAAATTGGAAACTCATATGTGAGGCATATGTGCATTTAAATTCAAGGCACACAGGTGTTAGTCATTCCGTAACCACGGAAGACAATCCCTACCAAGTGCCATACACTGTCCTAGGCACTGGGAATACAGCAGGGGACAAAACAAAGCCTTAGCCACCTTGGAACACTGCCACCTGGGCAGTACCAAGATCAGCTTCCACAAGCAGGTAACACTGTTTTTTAAGAGCCTTTGCCCCATGTAGGCAATATATGCATAATGTTAGATGGTATGTGAAGGAAAAGTCAAGCAGGTTAAGGAGCTGGAAAGTGTCAGATTCTGTGGTCAGGAAGACTGTGCTGAAGGGACTCAGTGAAGTGAAGCAGCAGCTCTGGGATATCAGGGGGAATGGCGTTCCACTTGATGCAGAGGCCCTGAAACAAGCATGCACTTTGCATGTTCAGGGAATAGCAAGGTGGCAGGTGTTGCTGGAGCCCACTGATCCAGGGGAGAGTGGTAGCAAGTGAAGAACCAGATCACAAAGAGCCTTGTAAGCATGCTAAGGGCTTGGATGTACCCATATGCACTGTTTACTATATGCAGGGGCAGTTCCTTGTGAGCAGGTCTAGGACTTGAATTTAGGTGATGCATTTAGGTCCGGCCTTGCCTCTTACTGGCTGTGTGACTTAGGCCAGTCCCTCAGCCTCTCTCAACTCCTAGTTTCCTCATCTTCAAAGAGGCCAGTTTTGCCTGCTTCAGATGATAGGTTGTGAGGAGTGTGTAGAATGCTTTGCAAGCTGTAAGCAGCTGTATGTGTAAATAGTTATGACTCTGTCCCTCTGCTTGCGCCTGCTTGAGGCTATAAACTCCTGGAGGGCAGGATCCACATCCCTTAAATGGCATGTCCAGGTGCCACCTCAGGGTCATGGTGGTGGCCTATCCTTACCAGAGCTCCAAGGAGCTTAATACAGTTAGTTCCTGGACCTTTCAGGTTGGATGATCCTTGTAGAGGTCACCTTGGCAGTTACCAAGAACAGCTCCGACAAGCAGGTAACATTGTTTTGTAAGAGCTCTTGCCCAAGCCCCTGGCTTCCCAGCCTGCCTGTAGAAACAGGAGTGTGCAGGAGGCTGTGAGGCTTGGGGAGCTGCCCCCAGCCTCTGTGGTCTTTTCCATGGCAGGATCTCCCAGCATGTAGAACTGAGCCGAAGCCAGCTGCAGGCCATTGGCGAGAGGGTCTCCTTGGCCCAGGCCAAAATTGAGAAGATCAAGGGCAGCAAGAAGGCCATCAAGGTAGCCCACGTGGCCCTGTGTCCCCGCAACTGGTAGGCAGTTCTAGAAATCCCATTCCCTGCCATCTCCCCATGCCTCCGAGGTTGCCCAGGTCCCTTCCCTGCTGTCCAGCCCCACCTTGGGCTTTTCTCCCACCCAGAATTTCTTCCCCCACAAGCCCAGGCCCTCTAGGTCTTCTCGGGTCCCCTGGAGAAGTGGATCTCAGACGTGTCCCCATGCCCACAGGTGTTCTCCAGTGCTAAGTATCCAGCCCCAGAGCACCTGCGGGAATACGGCTCCATCTTCACAGGAGCCCAGGACCCTAGCCTCCAGAGACGCCCCCGGCACAGGATCCAGAGCAAGCACCGGCCCCTGGATGAGCGAGCCTTGCAGGTCTGACGGATACACACACCCACACTCACTGTGGACAGGGATGACCATGGCAGCCCTGTCTATTGGGGAGGAACTGAGGGCCTACCACAGGGATTCTGTCCTCCAGGAGGATTCTGACTGGGATGGGGTGGAGGTTGATTGGGCACTGAGACCCACCATTCCTCTGTCACTGTCTTTCCCCCAGGAGAAGCTGAAGTACTTCCCTGTGTGTGTGAACACCAAGCCGGAGCCTGAGGATGAGGCCGAGGAGGGGCTAGGGGGTCTTCCCAGCAACATCAGCTCTGTCAGCTCCTTGTTGCTCTTCAACACCACTGAGAACCTGTATGTCCAGAAGGCGGGGCACAGAGGGGTGGGTGGGAGGCCTGGCCTGGCTTAGTAGGGGTCTCAGGAAAGTGCAGGAATTGCAGCCAAAGTCTGGAGGCTGGGGAGCCAGGAACTGGCCAGTTTGGTTTGGCTTGTATGGCCTGGGAATCCACAATACAAATTGAGTGTGGCCCCTGATGAAGTGGGGAAGGGGGATCAGGAGCACGGTACTACAGCAAAGTAGGATGGATTACCTGACCTCCACCCCACCCCTGTAGGTACAAAAAATATGTCTTCCTGGACCCCCTGGCCGGTGCTGTAACAAAGACCCATGTGATGCTGGGGGCAGAGACGGAGGAGAAGCTGTTCGATGCGCCTTTGTCCATTAGCAAGAGAGAGCAACTGGAGCAACAGGTAGAGACAGCTGAGGCTCGGGTGGGTAAGGAGGTGTAGGTGGGTGAGGAGGCCAGAGCCCTGCCAGCCTTACCAGGAGTCTTCTCCTGGGAGGGGCCTATTGAGCCCCTCATCCCACCCCAGCTGGGATACACACTGCCCCAAGACCACACTTGCAGGGCTTGTACCCCTGCAGCCCCCATCACCACTCCCACACCCCACGTAATCCTGCAGGTTCTAGAGAGCTACTTCTATGTGCCTGACCTGGGGCAAGTGCCTGAGATCGATGTGCCGTCCTACCTGCCCGACCTGCCTGGCATCGCTGATGATCTCATGTACAGTGCCGATCTGGGCCCCGGCATTGCCCCCTCTGCCCCTGGCACCATTCCTGAACTGCCAACCTTCCACACAGAGGTAGCTGAGCCTTTCAAGCCAGGTGAGCCAACAGCTACAATGGGAGTTGGGCTGGGGAGCTCCCCCACGCTGCCACCTTCTTCCCTAGACACCTCATATTTCCTCATGCTTCTATTTCAGACCTAGAAGGTGGGATGCTAACAGCACCCCCACCTCCTCCACCCCCACCCCCACCTCCCCCAGTTCCTGCAGTGCTGGTCAGTGCCCCCCCACCGCCACCACCACCCCAGACTGTGGCCCCTCCAGGCCAAGGCGCCAGGGAGGATGATGGCGGCAACAGCAAGTCTCCTTCAGGTGAGGACACTACCAGGACTGGGGTGGGGTGGTTGGTCTTTGAGGGCCCTGGGCTATGCACCTCTAGCTGCCTAATTTCAGGATCCCTGAAGGACTGTGTTTGATTTGTTAAATGGTCATAAATCCTTGATTTTCAGAGTAGTTCTAATTTCAAATATCTCAGTCCATTGGATTTATAAAATAGGGGTTTTCATAGTGTCTGTAGAGACTTGGAATTCCAGAGGTACCTGCAGGGATAGAGGGGGGCTGGACACATGGGGCTCTGGGTCTCCCATTCCCACATAAACCAATGGAAAAAAGTGGTCTACCACTTTAAAAAAAGGAAAACTATGGCAACAAAATACTCATTTTGTTCCTGAAATTGCCACATTTCAGTTTTAATAACGGTGTCTCCCAGTCTATTTTCAGCACCCAGAAGTGGCACAGTTATCCCTTGTTGGATCATGTGTTCAGACAGTATCGGCACACCAGTAACCCACAGGGTCCACCTCTGCAGGGTGGTACCTCAGGAGGTTGGGGGCTGGAGAGAGGGAGCAGGGAGGGCCTGGACACACGAACTTCCTGAGCCTGGATGAAATCTTCAGAATCCAGTCTCTTAGTCTCAGCTCTGAGTCAGGCCTTCAGCCAGACTGCATCAGTGTCTTCCTCTTTCAAGAGGGAAAGCCCCTCCTCACAAGTCAGGCTCTTAAGGTAAAGCTTGTGGACTCAACAAGCTTCACCCCCAGAATCCAGGTTGGGCAAAGCCATCCTGCAGCCTAGCCCGGCCTGAGCAGCCTTCCCCATCCCCAGCTCCAGTCCAGGGAGCCCCCAAGGAAGTGGTTGACCCCTCCAGTGGCCGGGCCACACTGCTGGAGTCCATCCGCCAGGCTGGGGGCATTGGCAAGGCCAACCTCCGCAGCGTCAAGGAGCGTAAACTGGAGAAGAAGAAGCAAAAGGAGCAGGAGCAAGGTGAGGGGACCCTAGGCCCACTCCAGAAGGGCTCCAAGCAAAGGGGCCACCTTCTCTCCTAGCCACTGCGAGAGTCCCCAGAGTGTCAGAGGCCAGCACCTACCCAGCCTGCCCCATGCTTTCTCCAGAGCACTTGCCAGAAGCCCCAGGTGACCGTCCCCATTACCTAACATCCTTATCCCTCCTGCCCGGGCCATGAGTTACTTCCTGGTTTTCGAGCCTGCTTTGTAGAGCTTTTCTCTGTAAGCTGGTAGGGGACCGAGCCTCAGTGGCTCAAACTATGACAAAAGGCAATTTCTCAGGCTCTGTCAAGAGTTGTCCAAGGACAGGGACCTGAGAGATTTTTAGGGCAAGAGGACCTAAGAGGGTTAGCTCAGTCCTGTTTCTGTAAGCCTCTTGAGGCTACAGATAATGTCTGCTGTGAATCCCAAACACCAGCATAAACATGATACCTGGGCACACAGGAGCCGTGTTTTGGAAGTCATCTGTCCTGAGTTTGTATCCCAGCTCTGCTTCTGACTGGCCCTGAGTCCTCTCAAATTGCTAAACCTCTGGGCCAGTTCCTCATCCATACAATGGGACTGCTCATACTTGGCACTTCTGCCTCACAGGGTGGCTGTGAGAATTTGTTAGTCAAATGATTTAACCATTTTCTTATTAGTGACATTGCCAGATCCACTGACAGACTGAAGCTCCGAGAGCTGGGGTGAAGGGGTGGGGTAGTAAGCAAAGAGGGCAGATGGGACTGAGCCCTGAGGATGCTACCCCCAGGGCAGGTTTCATACTTGGCCCCTGCACCAGCCCCCCGCCCCCTCACCTCACCCACAGCTTTCTTGTTGTAGTGAGAGCCACAAGCCAAGGTGGGGACCTGATGTCAGATCTCTTTAACAAGCTGGTCATGAGGCGCAAAGGTAGGAGGTGGGAGTGGAGGCTGCCGTCCCCAGCTGGTGATCTCGGGACATTTGCCATGTTTGTTTCCCGGGAGTGGGTGAATTGGTGCCCCAAACCGACCTCCCTCACCCTTAGCCTTCCCCCCCACCAGGTATCTCGGGGAAAGGACCCGGGACAGGGGCCAGTGAGGGGCCAGGAGGAGCCTTCGCCAGAATGTCAGACTCCATCCCACCTCTGCCTCCCCCGCAGCAGCCACCAGGAGAGGATGAGGATGACTGGGAATCCTAGTGGCGCTCAGCCACTCCTTCCGCCTTTCTGAGATGGAAACGGCCAGATGGCTCCCGGGCCTGCTTGTTCTCTCAGCACCTGCTGCCCTGGGAGGGAGGGGAGCATGGAGGGCTGTCCCAGGTCTGTCTGGGCCTGGGCCCTCTTCAGTAACAGGGAGGCTGGCTTCTGTGGCCAGACAGCTGGGGAGGGGGCTTGGCCTCCTCGGTCACCTCAGAGCTGGGCCCGGGTGGTGGGGGGGCACAGCTGGTGTCGGCCCGTGGGCTGCTCATGTCCCTGCTCTACCCCTCCCTTCACCAGAGTGCTCTTCTCCTCCCAAGACACCGGGAGATGATAAGCGGTAACATGCATCAGTAAAGAAGTGTAATACGAGAACTGAGCCTAAACCAACCGTACGTTTTTAATGAAGGAACTGTACTGTGCAGTATGCAAATACATCCTCAGAGCCAGCGGCTGTCCTCCTGCTCCCATTGGTCTCTCAGCTATGGGGACAGAATGCCCAAGTGGCAAAGGTCCCTTTCACTAAGGTCAGGGAGAGAAGTGAGGAACAGGTCATCAGGGGCAGCTGTTCGCAAACAAGGAGGAGGGGTATTTTCACAGAGGAAAAAAAAAGTCTCAGTGATAGACATGAGGTCTCTAAAAATAGTCCTGCTGAGAGCCTAATGGCCCTTGGCATAATTGCTGATGTCAGGATAGGAGGTGTCTTGGAGTCTGCTCAAGTCCTTGAGGAGGGAGGGTGCCACTGACTTGCAAGAGGAACTGGAGCAAGCCAGGGAGATAAAAATACTGCAGAGGGCTGTGGAACAGGTTAGGGAACAGGGCTGCCTAAGAAGTGAGGCCAGCAGGTGGGGGAGTCAGGGCAGAGGGCTCTTCTCCCAGCTCTTGATGACTTATACAAGAGACACAAGAGAAGGTGGTTAAGGTGACAAGAAGCCGATAGCCACCAAGGGGATGGAAGTTGGGAATGAGGTGCTCTTGGGGTACATAAAGAAAGGGTGAAAGGTCTAGAACAGCTCGTTTTAGTGAGAAAGGGAAGGAGGAAGGGTGGAGGCAGGATGGGCCAGCTTCCACCTCACCTCTAGGAAGGTGGTTCTGAGAAGCCAGGCAGGAACAGACACACTGCAGTGAAAGGCTGAACCGCCACCGCCTCCCACAAAGGCTGGGCAGGAAGCAGGCAAGCAGCTTACTCTAGGCCAAGCTGAATGGGAAGAAGATTCAATTCCAGGGAGGGGATCTGCCCTCGGATGGGCCCGAAGATGGCCAGCCCCCCGTTTCTCCAGGATTAACCTAGGTTTCCTCCTATCAGTCAGCTTTTCCATATCCTATGCCCAGATCCTGGCAGCCTGCTGATTCCAGAATGTGGTTGGTCTGACGCCGCACTCCCATCCTGGGCTTCACCTTCTTAGGCTGCCTGCAGACCAGGCCCAGGACGGTGTTTCACATGGGCGGGGTGAAGAGAAGCCTGGCAACAGGGGAGGTGCACCATCATCTGTCAGGAAGGGCCAGACTTCTCCCGATGAAACTGGGGAGACAGGAAAAGGAAGTGAGCAACTAGATCTCAGGGCAGGGGCAGGAGGTGGCCCTCGGGGGACGGGAAAGCCAGGACTCACCTTGCGCAAAGCAGCAAAGGCAAGGCCAAAGGTGGCTTTGACCTCCACGCGATCTCGGATCCACGCGGGTAGCTTTGCCAGGGTAGGCGGGCGGGCATACCGCTGGTCCAGGAGCACAATGCTGGCAAAATCCTTCTGGTGCCTGATGGCCCTGCCTGGGTGGCGGCAGAGATGGCAGCTCTGAGTTAAACCTGCCTCCCTCATGTACATTTTCACTATGTCCCCTTCCTCGTCCTCAGCCCCCAGATGGGAGTGGCAGGTAAAATCATCCTGTCATCTCACTCTCCAGCCATCCACTGGAACTCCAAATGGCCAGAAAGAGCCCCAGGCTTACCTATAGATTGGTTGACAGCTTTCATGCACAGATTCTCCACCAAAGCCTTCCCTGGGGGGGCCTGACCCGGGGTTCTGGGCTGGGAAGGGTGAAGAAGAGGGCCTATCAGGATTGTTTCTTATTTGCTGCCTATGTCCCAGTTCTCCCTGAGAAAATGGCACTGCCAGGCTTCTGAGCAGAAGACCAGTAGGCTTCAGGGGCCCAACGCCAACAACTGATGTAACAGGTTATGTCACGGAGAAGACCAAGAGGACACACAGGTACCATCTACCCAAGCTGTAAGACCCTGCTATCTCAGCCCCAGGAGTGGCAGAGCCCTCCCCTCCAGCCTCTCATTCCTGTCCTCTGGGCTGCCAGGGATACTCACAAGGGTCTGATCCAGGTAGGCCATCTTCTCTTGCAGCTCTGGAGATTTAATGTTGGGGTAAGGCATGCCCACCATGACCACACACCTGGGGTGGAGGCACACGTGAACAGACAGGCCTTCAAGGCCCAGGACGAAAGACTTGGTCCTCACTTGCTGTGTTCTGCCACCCCTTCCTCAGTCCTTATGCTGTGCTCGGTAGCTCTACCTCTCTCCCCACTCTGTACTTGCCACCTGGCAACAGTTTTCTCAGCCAAGAGATCCAAGTTAGGCTAATGAATTGAGCCCTGCCTACCTTCCCACTTGGTCTCAAAGGGGCAAGTCCAGAGTTGCTGAAACACCTCCCCACCCAGCTGACTGGCCCTGAGCAGGCAGCCTGGGGCAGGCTCTGCAGACGGCATCAGCTTGCAGGCAGGCCCAGGGCTGAGAAGAGGACCACCACTTACCGGCCCAGGTTGTCAGAAAAGTTGATCCCCTCACTCATCTTTCCCCCGACCACAGAGAGGAGCAGGGCGCCCGTCACCGTGCCTACCACCTGGCCACAGCACTGCAGAGATACCCAGCCCCGGAGTTGCCAAGCTAAAGTTTGGATGCCACTCGAAATTTTAGCCGCCAGCCTCCCATGTTCTCTGGACCCAGAGGTCCCAGAGTTCTAGCTCTTACCTTAATGCACTTGGAATATTCCATCAGCACCTGCTCCACCTGGTTTGTTCTCTTGGGTTCCTGAAATATCTAGAGATAAATAGATGTTATCTCACAAGCTTCAGAATGCCTGGGTGTTGGGTCTGCTCTAGGCCTTTTCTTTCCCAGACTAAGGACGGGAGAATCTCACAATCAGAGGAGGCTTGGAATCCTCTGGACCAGTAAGGGATTCGGAAGTGGTGGGGGTGAGGAACTAGGAGAAGCCCCCGTACAGGAGGCCAAAGCAACCAATTTAATGTGCATGAGAAATCTATGAGAGGAACTCTGGGTTCCACTGTCCTTACAAGTGGAGGTCCAGCTGAAGGGCCACTCACCTTTTTCTTCATAGCCAGGCGGGCCAGCAGGCCACTCTGTTCCCAGCGGTTGTGGACCTGGTGCAGGTACTCATAGGAGGGGAAGAAACACACCACCCCTCCAGGCACCACGTTGCACAGGTTACAGAGAATGCGGCCTGTCTCATCCATCTATGAAGACAGACAAGGAGCCCCTCCAGAGAGCCATGCCGAAGCCTCGCTCCACAAAGGCTTCCTAACCTTGGGGCTCAAAACCAAGTACAGAGAATTCAGGGTAACTCCGGCGGGAGAAGGAATATGGGAGGGTGACTCCCCTGGGTGGGAATCACAGGTTGCAATGTACCATCCCTCCCTACCAAAACACACCCAAATGGTGTTTCTGGTGACGACAGCATTCAAGACATATCACAATGCTAGCACAACAGAGAGAAAACTTGCTATTGGTGTGCCCGAGTCTCCTTTCTCCAACTCCCAGTGTCCTGATGGGCAATCGGGGATTAAGCATCATCAGTGACAAACCAGGCCCCTAAGACCCCAGGCATGCCCCCCAAGAACCGCAATCCTGTCCAGGACAGGGGCTATACCACCAAACAGCAAAAATATCAAAGTAAATGGGGAGCTTTCATGTGTTTGTCTTAAACGGATGCCTGGAGTTTTAAGGAAAACTTATGTAGCAGCCTAAGGGTTGAGGGAAGCTGAGACCTTCCTTGAGAAACATCTAGATAGATATTCATCCTGTGCTGGCTCAGAGATGGAAGCCCCCAGTAGACTTCCCCTACTGCCCCCACCCCAAGAACCTCTCTTGCCCTAACACAGGCCTGTAGTAAGGCAAGTTGCCTGGTACTAACCATGTGAGGCAGCTCCCTTTTCTGGTATGTGAACTCCAGCTGCTGGTTGGAGGGCCCGCTGCAGATGACGAGGGGTAGGATATTGTCTGGAGGGATCACGTGACCTGGTGAGACCCAGTGAGGGGCTGAACACTGGCGGTCCAAAATGTTCTGCAAGGTAGATTCCAAAAAGGGCATCTCCCCAGCCCTATCTCCCAGACTGGGAAGAGCAATTTATATCACTTATCCACCCTCCCTATTGCCATAGTAAAACTGGGCAATGCTTAAACCTCTCCCATGTAGCTGGAGGAAGAACAGAAGCATAAAAGCATGGGGATAAATGAGTTCATGAGAAAGCTGGCAGAGGACCACGCACGGGCTCCTCAGCCCCTTGGGCCTGAGAACAGAGAATGGATACACTATGATGACAAGGGAGCCAGGCTTCTGGTCTACAACATGAATACCCTGCTCATTTGACCCTGCTCATTTGACCCTGGACATAGAGACTCACCACAGGAGAACTCCACCACACGCTCGACTCCAACCCCAGCACAGGCCAGCAGCTGCTCCCGGAAGTCAGACACCTGCAGACCACAATGTCAGGGCTCTGTGCCCTCCCAGACACCCAGGAGAAAGGGGCCTGAGGGCTGAGCCGATGAGGCGCTTGAGAAGGAGGGAAGACAGAAGTCTGGGCTGGGAGGCAACAAGTAAATACAAAGTCGTCAAGGAAAAGGCTGAACACAGGGTTGACGAAAAGGGAATAAAGCAAACTCTAAAACTGAAAACAAACTGCAACAAAAAGGTCTACGTAGCTATCAAATCAACAACGTAAGCACCCAGAGAAAAGCCTGACTTCAAATGACTCTACATCCTTAATGACCACATTTGTGGGATACAGTCTAAGGGTAAAAAATAAATGCAAAGAAATTTCAGTCAGTAGTTCTACTACTGGAAATAATATTTGTATTATAATTCTGAAACTACTCTAGATTATAGGGTAGAGGAAGTTAATAATTATGTTAATAAGAAACTAAAATGTTCCACTTGAGATTCAATATAAAGGCACATAAGCCGATTCTTTGATTTTGATTTAGAAATATCGCCATGAACTCATGATTTTTGAAACCACATTTCCCAGATCTGTCTACTGAAATGGCCTGTAAACAATAATCCAGGAGCAGTATGAACACCCCAGCACCCAATTCTTGGTTTCTAAGTATCATTTTTCACTAGAAGGAATCAGGGCTCCTTGAGAAATGAGTGACTCCAGATCTGAGGCAAAGAAAGCATGAGTTGAGCCCAGAACATCTTGCTTTGCCAGGAAGCAAGAGAGTATTCAGAGACTAACGGGGCCACCTCAAAGGACCAGAAGGCAGCTGAAGGGTTCCTATTGGCCAGGTTCAAGACAGTCTGAGCACCCAAAACAATTAACAACTGTGAATCGGTTTAATACACTGAATGAATATAAACTCACAAGTCTGTGCACAAAAAAAGAAAAATAGAGGGGAGGGGAAAATAAAAAAGCAAAAAGCCAGAGGGCTGATTGTAATGGGCAGCCGAGATTAGAAACCACTACTTTAAATTTTGAATAGCCTTTCATCCAGTAAGTCCTGTTCTAGGAGGTATCCTAAGGAAATAATCACTGTGCAGAGGTTTGGTTATATTCATCACAGTACTATTTAAAATAGAGAAAAACTAGAAATAGTCTAAATATCTAACAAAAGAGGAGTGGTTATATGAAACATAATATATCCGTGTAATGGAATATAGCACAGCCAGAGTGTGGTAGAATAAACAAATACAAGGAAAAATGTTTATGACATTTTGTTGCTGAGTGAAAAAAGCAAGTTATAACAACAGCATGCAGAGGTAATACCATTTTTTGTTTTGCTTTTAAAATATGGATGCATATGTAAAAATTATGCACAGAAAAACTATTATAATGATACACACCAAAATGAATCTGTGGCTGGTGGAATTATGAGTTTTTTCTTTTTCTCCTGTTTTTGCTTGTCTCTGCTTTCTACAATGAAAATGCAATACAGTACTCTTCTAAGAAACATATTAAAGCTTAAATTTATAAAAGAAATAGAAGGCTGACACTTCTGTGGTGGATGCAGGAAGAGAATGGCATTAAGGCACCTAAATGAGAGTCTGACTCTACAGAATGGCTTCGTCTGGGAGAAGTGTGATCCCTGGCTACAGAAATATGGCAGCAATGGTGGTCTGCACACCTCCACGAGGCAGGGAGACAGTGCAGCAGTACCACCTAGTGGACACTGCGTCACCTGCTCAAGCGGCTCAAGCAGACCCTCTTCTGGTTTGGGGGTCTGCAGGACAGATGATGTCTGATGTACTCACCGGCTGCATGGTGCCCCCTGCAATGACCACTGCCCGGCATTCCTTCACCACCTGGGCAAAGTGTACGGCTGGATTCAGGAGCAAGAATTTCAGGCTGCTCTGACTGAGGCTGCCTGAAAAAAAGGACAGAGGACAGCTCCATGGAGGAGGGGGGCAGGCCCAACGGATACTTCTATCACCCCGGGACAAAGGGCATCTCCAGGTGGGTCCATGTACGAGACACAAGGCCTATCACTCTTTCAAAATTAAATCCCATTTAATCTCCAGGACAACCCTCTGAGGGAGACAGTATTATCATCTCCATTTTCACATGCACAGACTGAGGTTCAGAAAGGTAAAGAAACAGGTCCACATCACACAGCTTGCAAGTCAGAGAGCCAAGACACAAACCAAAGCCCACCTGACTCCAGAGCCTACAACCTTAGCCACCAGGCAACACGGCTCCTTAGTAATCTTGCCTGAGAGGACCTGCCACCCAGCGCCTGTGCGCTGCCTCCCACCACCTCCCCCAACTGCCCCACCTGCCCCAGGTATTAGAAGGCCAGTTATCTGCACCCTGTTTCCTCCTCCTAACCCAAGGAGGTGCCAGGAGAGAAGCAAAAGATCTTTTCATGCTTTGGCTCCTTGGCTCCACGATGGCCTCCTCTTGGGAACCAAGCCTGGCCTGGTAAGCACCTGATTACCTTGGCGGCTCAGGATGACTCTGCCGTCCTGGTTGGCGGTGGTGA